AATTAATAAGAGATGGTTACATATTTTCTTTATGTAAATTCCATCAATATAGAGTATATGTTTCAAATGTACTATTACATATTTTTATCATTTTATGAAAATATATGAACATGTATATGTTAAAATAAACAATGACGAATTTAAATTGACATATCAAATCTAAAAATTTATCTATACATATCAAATCTTCAATTAAAACTCATCAAGATTTTAATTGGACGTTAGCTATTATTGTGTTAGGAATTAGAAATAATTATGTTATATAAATATTGGACTTGATTATCCTATAAATTTGATGTTAGATATTATCGTGTTCGGAATTAGAAATATTTATTTTATAGATTCGAAATAATTATGTTATAAATTAGACGTTAGATATTATCATTCTAGGAGTTAAAAATTATTATGTTACATGTTAGAATTAATTATCTTATAGATAAGAATTAATATATCTTATAAATTTGAAAAAAAAGACGTTATAATGTTAGGATTTAGAAATTATTATGTTATAGATTATAATTTAATATGTTTTAAAATTATAAATATTGTACTGTACTTCATTGTTTATTAGTGATCGCGAGGCTATTAACGATGCAAAAAATACGGCACTTCTAAATGGGTTCGAAATTGTTATTTCGAAACACACAAAAGGAGGAAAAGGTGAAGATCTTGAAGTGAAAACGAGACGAACGTTATAGAGGCAAAATCGCAAATTTAGATAAAGTTGTTGCTTCTATACGTACAAAAACGAAAACGTGCAGTTGTGAATTTGAGATAAAAGTAAAGCAGCTGACCGGATCGACTTACTGGATGATCCACACGTGTAAAGACGAAAAGAAGGGTTTTCATAATCATTCATTTGTTGTGTACCCTGAGGGTCATCGATAGGTGAGCGGTATCAGTCAGTCATAAAAAAAAAATATTCGTGATATGAGTGCTGCGCAGGCAAAACCAACACAAATTTTGGCCATTGTCCAGGAAAAAAATCCGGGAGACCACACAATCGGCGACATATATAACTGTAGAGAAAAGTAGCGTAGGGAAAATTTCGAGGGCATAGACATTACTACCCAACTTCTACATTTGGCTAGGAGCAGCAACTTTATACATATGTCCATCTGGACACGAATGCGCTGACATACATATTCATGGCCCAACCTGATTCAGTTCGTCTATTCCGGACATCCTGATTCTAAGATTGACACTCACTCTTGTTTATCGTCATGACAATATAAATGCATGTTTATCATGGTTTTTGATCGCGGGCTATGGAAAATAGCGTCGGGCATTTCTGGCCGCTATAGCGACGCTATCGCCGCTATGGCATAGTAGCGCCAGGTTGTTTTTGCCGCTATTCGCGCTATTTGGCGCTATAGCAGCGCTATTTGACGCTATATAGCGTCAAATAGCGCCGCTATAGCGCCAAATAGCGCGAATAGCGGCAAAAACAGCAATAGCTTGACGTTAGCTGATCTGAGCCGCTATAGCGCGCTATTTAAAACCATGATGTTTATCTAAAAAACTTAATCTTTGAAATATAGTGATCGTGTGTTATTTTTTAATTTCGTAATTGATTGACTCTTTTATTCATTAGTTGGTTTGAATAAATATATAACAAATTTTGTTGCCAATCATTATTAGAGTTTTTAAATTAATTTGTGTAAATGCATAAATAAAAAGAGAC